TGTAAGAGTCTCTTCTGACATCCATTTTGGTCTTTTCTTCCTTTCCTGTCTTTTTAATGACCTTTTGCTTTCTTCATGGATGATGCTCTTGATGTCATCCCACAACACGTTGGGTTTTCGGTCAGTGGTGTTCTGTGCATCAAATCTATTCTTCAGGTGGTCTCCAAAGTCAGGAGGGATATAATCAAGGTCATATTTTGGCTCTCATGGACTTGTTTGAATTGTGTTCAGCTTCAACTTGAACTTGCATATGAGCGGTTCATGGTCTGTTCCACAGTCAGCTCCTGGCCTTGTTTTGGCTGAAGATATTGAGCTTCTCCACCTCCTCTTTCCACAGATGTAGTTGATCTGATTCCTGTGCATTCCATCTGGTGAAGTCCACACGTATAGTCACAGTTTATATTGTTGAAAAAAACGTATTTGCAATGAATAAGTCATTGGTCTTGCAAAATTCTGTCATGTGGTTTCCTGCATCATTTCTATCGCCAAGGCCATATTTTCCAACAACTGATGATTTTTCTTTGTTTCCAACTTTTGCTTTCCAATCATTAGTGATAATCAGCACATCTTGATTGCATGTTTGGTCAATTTCAGATTGCAGAAGTTGGTAAAAATCTTCAACTTCCTTGTCTTTGAGCGCTCTGATAGCATGGTGCCTAAGGCACTTGACTGCTAACCAGAAGGCTGGCGGGTCAAACCCACCAACCCTTCCTCAGAGGGAAGGTTGGGCAATCTACTTCCGTAGTGATACTGCCTCAGAAACTGAAGGAGGGGTCGCTATGAGTCGAGTCCGACTCAATGGCACATAACAACTATAACAGCTCCTTGTCTTTGGCTTTAGTGTTTGGTGTATAAATTTGAATAATAATAGTGTGAACTGGCCTTCCTTGTAGGTATATGGATGTTATCCTATCACTGACAGACTTATACTTCAGGACAGATCCTGAAACATTCTTTGATGAAGAATGCCACACCATTCCTCTTCAGTTTGTCATTCCCAGCATAGTAGATGTGGTACTTAACTTGTTGTCAACTTGGCTGGCCCTGGTTGAGTGGCTGGGCAGCTGGATATAGTTATTCCCCATGGTGAGACTGGCAGTCAGTTCCATGGTGGGATCTACTAGAGCAGCTGAGTAGCTGCCTTAGGGATGTGGGCTGCTTGCTGTGTGTGAGGAGAAGCTCTGAGAAAGGTCTCCAGCTTTCTGGCCCATCTGGAGCCTGCATTTGGCCAAGTCTGCATCTCAGTGGCCTGCCAAGTTGTCTGCCCATCTTGGGACTGTTTCAGGACTTGAACTAGTGGCCTGCTGTGTTGCTTGATAGGCTTGGGACTGTGCCATTGTGCATGTCGACCTCAGGCTTGTCAGCCCCAGCAGCCAGCAGCTGCCTGAGTGAAGAGACGCCTCCGGCTCCAGTGGGCCGAGAGCAAGAGGCAGAGCTGAAGCCTGAGGTCGAGGGGCCTTCACCCAGCCCCTAGAGTCTGGCACTTTGAACTCAGACTTCTAGCCTCCCAAACTGTAAGAGAATAAACTCCTGTTTTTTAAAATCATCCAGTTGTGGTATTTTTGTTATAACAGTAATAAAGGACCAAAACAGTAGATCATATTGTCAGATTCAAAATGGCCAAAACCGGTCCATTTCAGCTCACTGATACCTAGGATATCGATCTTTATGTGTTTTGTTTCATTTTTGACAACTCCCAAGTTTCCTAGGTCATACTTCGTACGTTCCATGTTCTGATGATTAATGCATGTTTGCAGCTGTTTCTTCCCATTTTGAGTTGTGCCCCATCAGCACATGGAGGTCCTGAAAGCTTTACCCCATCCGTGTCACTAAGGTCCACTTGACTTTTTAAGTGCCTCCAGGGCTGCATCTGTTGTTGAAGCCTCTCAGCGGGTGTTCGTGGATTCCTGGAGCCTCGTCTCTCATGGATGCCTCGGGTACAGAGTGCCAGGCCTTCCTTCCTTGGTGCCGTGGGCTGAGTTTGATCCTCCTGGTTAGCAGTTCAGTGCATCACCCTGAGCTGTGTGAAGAACGAGGGTCATGGTTACCATCCAGGCTTGTTCTGACGGTTCAGACGTGTTCTTATGGCCACAGTGCTTCTTGGCAAAAGCTATCGAGATGCTGCTGCTGTACCTAGGGACCACAGAGGAGTTTGCTGTGGTCGGGGAGGGTACTGTCCAGGCAGGAGACAGTGTGGACTCCATTGGCTCTTCTGGGCTCAGCATAACTCGGTTGGGTGTAACGCGTGTCCTCTTAAAACCCTGTCCCCGTGTTCCCTCCCATCCTGGCCACCAGGCCAGGGGGAAGGCCAAGCCATGTTCTCTGCACCAGGCCCCCACTGGCTTTCTGTTGTTTGAGATCATGCCCTTGTGGAAGCAGGGTGCCCTGGGCCAGCTGGTGTAAGGACAGCTCCGAGTCCAGGGACTTGGGTGCACACCCATTCACTCCACGTCCTTTCAAACCACATGGCGAGGCCACTGGAGGCAGCCATGACATTGTTACCCAGTGATTTCTCCTACAAAGACACAGAGCTATTCCAGTCTCTAATATTTGTCTCACATGATGTCCTGGTTGAGCCCTTCATACTGTCTTGATGGCCAGCTCAGCCTGAAGGTTTCACACTCAGGCCTTTTGGGGACGGTGCTGCTGTGTGGCCTGTTTCAAACAGAGGCCTGCAGCGAGCACCGCCAGAGGGCCCAGGCACCAGGCCCCGTGCCAGCCCCGGGGATGCCCCTGTCCTACAGGGGCTCACTGTCCACTGGGCAGAATAATGCGAGGCCCCAGTGTGACCATGGGGCTGCTGGAGCTGGGGGGTGACAAGGAGGGCTTCCTGGAGAAGGTGCCACTTGGGATGAGCTGAAGGATTTACAGATGAGCTGCAGGCCCCCCGGCAGGAAGAAGGGGTGTGGAGGCAGGATGTGGGCTGGGGCTCAGTGTCCACTCCCTTGAGGACTCACTGTGGTGTGGATTTGCCTGAGGTCTGGCAGCGATGGCAACAGGCTGGCCCTGTGCAGGGGAGAGTTATGGCTTCTCTGCCCCTGCTGGGCATGGGGACCACAGGCTGGGGTCACCGCAGGGGAGGGGGAGGAAAGACAGGCACTTACAGTGGGAATTTACCCCCATGTTGGCACTTATTCAAGACAGTGAATGCTGCACAGGAGCCCTGGAGTGCAGTGGTTAAAGTGCTCAGCTGCTAAGCGAAAGGTCACTGGTTCTAACCCACGAGCTGCTCCAAGGGAGAACAGTGTGGCAGTCAGCTTATGTAAAGGTTACAGCCTCAGAGACCCTGTGGGCAGTTCCACTCTGTCCTCTAGGGGCGCTGTGGGTCAGAATGGACTCCACAGCAGTGGGTGTGGTTTGGGCTTTGTATTCTGTGAAGATTGACAGCCTTGGAGACCCTGTGGGCAGTTCCACTCTGTCCTCTAGGGGTGCTGTGGGTCAGAATGGACTCCAGGGCAGTGGGTGTGGTTTGGG